GCTTTGAGGATTTCTGTGAAATAACTGACCTTTGCTATTTGACATCCAGGACTCAAAAGTTTGTCCGCCTCGCCTCCAGGTCTTATATCAGTGATGAAAAGTCCAGGATTCCCTGGAATGTAAGGCTGATCGTTACCACCAGCGATTTCTACATCTGCGTCGCTAATTTCTCCTAGGAACAGGAAAAAAATACCAGATGGTGAGCGTAATGGTGGGCTTCGATAAGTATTCTGACTATTCAGTATTTGAAAGTATAAATAGGAATAAATGACAATAAAGAAAATTTGAATGAAAAAATCTTCGCCTGATTTAGTAGTACTGAATGATATGCGAATATGATAGGTCTGAAATCGGCTTGATACTTAACCTTTAAGCCTCAGTAGTGACCACCATCTAATTCCTTCTATCAATATCACCGCCTGATCAAATATACAGATCATGAGAATGAATGAAATGATCACCAAATATGAAATGTCTTGATGTTTGAAAAAATTCTCTAAATCAGTGTCGAGAATTTACATGTTGATAACGGGGATTAAAGGATAAAGGTAAATATCACTACTGTGAAGATTCGTCTTCGTTGAACACTATTGCTGCAAAAAAAATGTAAACAGATTTTCTATATACAACTTTTTAATTGAGCCGTTCGATAAGTAAGCGAAAAAGATCATAGACTAAATTGATGTTGAATATTAGAAAAAGATTTGCTAAATAATAGTTGCTATAAGAGCAAGTAAGTTCGTTGCATTTAATGTTAAAAGCTTCATATACGTCGAATAATTTACCGTTAAATACGCAATCAACTGTTGAAGTATCCCAAAGATGTCATTGAAAAGATAAACAATTAGTGATTTTTTATCCTCTTAGAGGTAAAGTTGTATGTAATCGGATCAAAATCAGGTTTTCATCATATTCTCCTGTGTTGCACCGGGGATCGATCGAGAAAGTTCCGTCTTCGCGACGCTGTCAATAATAATCAATAATAATGACTCTAATCGAATTTATTAAGATTATAAAGCAAAATCAATAAATTTGTACTTTGCATAGATAGGTTTGTTGACACGAATGCAGATAGGACAAGTTTCTGAAGAATGAAATCTTACCTCTTGGTCCAACTGAGACTTCCACTTCGATTTCAATATCTTGAGTGTTTGTAAAGGAATTTTTTTCATCGTGGCTTTCATCTGTGGGATTCTTGGACTTCAAGAAAGCTCGGAACTTCCCTCTCCTGACGGCCATTATAGCAGCGACGAGTTCTATCGAGACAAACCACGTTATAACCACTTCTCCGGAAGAATAAATAGTTACTTGGTCAATATTTGTGTGAATAACAACATTATCTGACTGTCGTTATCGATAATTCACCCAGTTGTAAAATGGCCACGTCCGATTCAAACTCTTTGCGCAAAAGCCTTCGCATCATTTGCCCTGGTATGAATCGTCGTGTCTGTCTGGTCGCAAAGCGACCTTTATCGTAATAATTTCTGTGACGTATATACGGTTTGCCGACGAGAATTTATTCTTTTGTGGCAACTTACAGAGGCTTGACTTCATATTGTTGTTATTCTTAGCTTTCCTTTGTGACTTGTTAAATGAGCAGTTATGAAAACATAATTTGCATAAGTCCGTCTTCCGTGCTTACTCAGCTAATTTGTGTTTTGATTTTCCCGCCAATTCTTTTGTGTAAGCGGTATATATCTATCTGGCATGCGCAACCGACCTTTATCCAAAATAGAGACTGAAAATAAAAAATAACAAACTTTATAAACTACACAGGAAAGTTTCATTGTGAGAGCTATTTCTTAACCCGAAAAAATGACACCATAAATAAGTTATTTATTTCGTAACAACGCAAGTAATTGGAAATTCAGGAACACACTTTTAATTTCTTGCTCCTAAGACTTTCTGTTTGGTGATCTTTGAATTTCAGTTGATGAAGCTTTAATGTACCTCTCGAGAATTAGTTTTCATGATCAGCAATAATTTAACTCTAGCCGACGAAGGAGCTAATTCATACCAGTTTTTTCTTTCGTCACCGTGACAATCGCTCTGGCTCGAATTTTGAATTTTCACTGCTAAGTTCTCGAATCGAATCCTGGTTTTCGTGGTGTAGCGGTTTCTGACCCGCTAAATACATTTAACAAATAGATTCCAAGTTGCGTCTGTTCAGTAATAGATCACAGATGACGTCAAAGTGTGGTAAGAACAAAAAAGTGGCACACTAGACGCAGCCGAGTGCGTCACTGATGTTCTTACCACATTTTGACGTCCTCTGTGATCTATTACTGAACAGACGCACGGCAACTTGGAATCTATTTGTTTTATATAATAAAGAATTAAAATATACGGAAAAAAAGTTTTAATGATGACGTCATCTATACGTCTGTCCTCCAAGAGATCATAAGTGAGAACCAATCAAAATGCGTGCATAGCTGAACTTCTTATATAAAACTGAATATCTGGCAGTTTTCATCGAAATAGTCTCCTCAGTAAAGACTTGATTTGAATTCTGACCTTTTTCCTTTTTATGTGATGCGTATAGTTAAAAAAGTAAGAGAAAGAAAAGGCATAAAAACACTTTCATTTACCTTTTCTTTATTATAGCTATTGTTGTTATTGTTTAGTTGTTTGTATTTATCAACAGTTAGGCGGTGAAACATTACGGAATCAATCTGATTAATATAAAACGTGCAATACACTCAGAGTCATTGTTATCAAGCAACGATTGAGACTGTAAATTTACTAAACGTTTTATTAAAATGACACATTTTACAAAGGAAATATCTTGTTGCAACGAACACGCTTATGCAACTCATAAGTAAATTCTGAGGGTTCAATTGAATTACCATGCCACACTGTTATCCAGAATATTTCATCAGAGAAGTGCAATTTGTTTTTAGTACCTACGACTAAAAATAGTAGACTGACCCGTCTCGTTAGTGAACTTACTTAGTCCGCACATTTTAGTTAAACAAAGTGAAATGATTGGTTGGAGTCATCATTATTCTTCAAGTTTGATTGGTTAGTGCTAACAACTACAGATCTGTCTCTTCCTTTTTGAAATATTTCCAATACTATTGCAAGTAGAGTCAATCGCGAGGCGATGAGGAGGAGATCATGCAAAGGGCGAATCACGCGCGAGAAGAGGAGTCCGAACGAAAAATTTCATTGTGGTTTAATGTTACTCCCCTCCACGAACGACTCACTGCTTCGCGCTCGCCTCCACTCTCCTGGATACACGAACTGATAAGACTTCTGTTCTGTAGGCTGTTTACACACGAAGACGTTTCATCTAAGCTCATACAGAAGGGCGAAATATGTGATGACCACGCCAGTTACCTGAAGAAAATCAGCAAAAGGCGTTGTTTAACATTTGGAAAAACAAATTACCTTTGTCAACCTCCTGTGCGTACCCTGATGATATTATTTCTAAGTAATTGTAGGCCTTGGTTTGACGTCCTATCATTGAAACAGAGCCGGCTGACTATGATTTATGAAGAGAATCGTTAATCTATCGTTAACGAACGTCAGACCAGCCCGGCCTCAGCCTTAGCCCCGAGCGTTCACTCTTGCATCGTTGTCCTAACGAAGTCTGGGAAGGGGAGTCTCTCCGTGAGGACGCACCCTACAATCGGGTTCAAATTTGACCAGCCGAGAACGCTTGGGGACTAGAGTATACAACAACATGATGACACTTATCAAAGGAGCACTGGTAACACTTGGTGGTAAGATTCAGGGATTCATTACCGTAACAATCAGCGGTTTTGTGATTGGTACCAGTCCTCCTGCTGTAATTGCCACGGGATCTCCGCCTAACTTCGCCAGGAACAACATCAACTGAAGAAGAAGAGAGAACTTGGTATTAATGACTATTTACTGCCAGATCATGGTTCATTAGGTCTTATCAGTCGAAGAAAATGGACGGCAACACAATGACTTCTCAACAGTGAAGCAATTTTCACTCGAAACTTGGAAGCATTCCAAGACTGTATTGATTTTACTTCACCACGTTTTCTGACTGGTCTAAAAACTGCGTGCCACAATTAATCAAATGCAAATTTGCCTGAATCGTGACTTGGTCACCGCTTTTACACGTTCCATGTAGTGTGTTTGCTTGTTTGTTTTTATCTTATTTTTAGTTCTAAATGGCTTTCGTGATAATCAAACGAAAGCTTTAAGCAATTGCACACTGAGGACAAAGGTAATTAATTCTAATGTGGCACAGGTAACCTTTTCCTCTTTAGAAAAACATCACAACAACGTGTCACAGCAAACCTCCGTATGTGTATCCAGATCAACATTTGATATTTGAACTTTCTGCACAACTTCTGTAAAGGAATGAATCTGTCCACAAAGGAAACAAAAATTAAATATATTATTTGTTAATATCCTCGATTAATTTCATCAAGTAAACTTATTTTTCGTTCCGTGTGTACTCCGTATATTTACTAGTTAAAGCAAGAGAGGTTGCCCAAATATTTTGACTCCACCTTCATCTCAGGCTCATATATAGTACCTCCACTATTGGCAGTAGAGGACCGATCAGTAATTATCGCCTGTGGGGG